GCCTGCTTAGGCAGATGCAGGGACTGGGGTTTGATCCCAGGTGTGCTGTGCTGGCCCCACCACTGGGGCACACTGAGATGGCGATTGAGACTGGGCATGGTGGCACATGCCTGTAATCCCAGTACTTGGGAGGCTGAAAAACAGGAGAATCACTATAATTCCCATCTGTGTAGTGAGACCCTGAACACCCTGTACTAAATACATTAAAAAAAAAATCCCACAGGTGTTTTGACAGCTTCACAGCTGCCAGGAGGACAAATCAGATAATATATATGAACACATTTTATAAGGTCCAGTTATGTTATTACCTGGATTTTAGAGACTAGTTTCAAAAAAGGCCAGCTGTCATCATGTCGGACCAATTCCACAACAAGTTGTTCAAAAGCAGACAATTCATGAACTCCTCCCTGTCGGCCAGAGCTTCTTCGATTCAATGGCACTGGAGATGACTCTGGATTAATAGAGACGGTTTAGGCAGAATCAAAACAAAACACTGGTCACACAAGCTACAGTGGGCATGTAAATACAAGCTAAATTCAAACACAAATAGATATGCTCTAAACTGAGATAACTAAGTTACTTCTGGGAAATTTGAAAACCTAGACCAACTATTTGTATTTCCTTTTTGTTATTTTTTTTTTTTTATGTATTTAGTACAGGATCTATAGGGTCTCACTACACAGATAGGACCTGTAATGATTCTCCTGTTTTCTGCCTCCCAAGCACTGGGATTACAGGCACACAGCACCACACCCCGTCTCAATGCTGTCTCAGTGTGCCCCAGGGGAGGGACCAGCACAGCACACTTGCTGCGCTCTGCCTAAGCAGGCACTTTTGTCCACTGAGCTATTGGCTGGCCCTTAAAAAATATTTTCAGGGCTGGAGAGACAGCTCGGTGGTCTGAGTGCCTGCCTGGAAGGCACAAGGACCAGGTTCAATCCCTGGTACCAGGTGGAATGCCATTCTCAGGACCCCAGGTGCACCATGCTGGCCACTGAAACCAGGCATGGTGGTGGATGCCTGTAATCCCAGCACTGGGGAGGCTAAGACGGGAGAACACTATGAGTCTAAGCTGCGTAGTGAGACCCTATACCAAAATAAATAAATAAATGAAGCAAAGGAATTGTTTAGTATTTCTTACAGTGTATTCTTAAACTAATCACTTAAGATCTAGAAACCAGGCTTCCACATAAAATGTCCAGCACAGCAGAAAAGCAACTGGTGATAAAGTAAAAGATTCTTTTTGTTTTAGACAGCATCTTTCTATGCAGGCCAGGCTGGCATCGAACACACTGTGTACCCCAGCCTGGCCTCAAACTAGTGGTGATTCTCTTGTCTCAGCCTTTTGAGTGCTGGCATTACAAGGGAGCATAACCATGCCTGGCAAAATGATTATTCTTAAAAAAATTTTCATTTCGATATATGAAAATTTTTCTTACCTTAATGAAACCTAAAGTTTGTGTAATCGGTATGTGTTGGGTATGGTGGTGTAATTTCACCGCTTGGGAACCTGATGCAGGAAGATCATTTCAAATTTGAGGCCAACCTGGACTACAAAGCAAGCTCTCAAGCTCAGCCTGAACTACATAGTGAGACCCTTCTTACAAAAAGGGTGATATCATGCATGTACTCTTAGCAATTGAGGTGTTTAAATTCTCACCTTGTAGGCCACACACCACACACTTTTTCATTACCTGTGTTTAGACTACCTTTAGTAGTCCCACAAATCAATAACAAAAATGTTTTGTTCCTCAGAGTTTTTTAAAAAAAATATTCGAGTGTATTATTTTAAAAAATAGGAGTTTAAGATTGACAACGGTATAGGAAAACCTAAATTTGATTTTACTGGTACAAAATTACTTAGTATTTCCCCTAGAAAACTTGATAATCTAGCTGAGTATGGTTAGCGCACACCTGTAATCGTAGCACTCTGGAAGCTGAGGCAGGTTAATGCCAAATTTGAACCCAGCTTGAGTAATTCTCTCAAAATGAAAAGAAAAAAAAGGGGACGCAGCCCAGTACAAAGCCCCTGGGTTTCTCAAAAGTGTCAAAAGCCTAAACAAACAAACAAACAAAAATCACCCTCCCCAACAAATAAGGGGCCAGGGAGATGTTCAGTGGAATAAGTGCTTCCCTGGCAAGCGCAAGGGCCTGGGTTCAGTCCCTGGTTTCTGTATTAAAAAAAAAAAAAAAAAAAAAAGCTTAAACCAAAAAACCAAAATCAAAACTTCACCATCTGGTTGCTGCATAAAAAGGTTATATGTCATTTTTATACCACTGAATTCCTTGTCATGTATGAATACTACAGTACAACCTATCCACAATTCTTTTGAAAAATAGTTTTTTTGTTTTTACATTTTACATTTTTAAATATCAAAGGTTTTCATCTTGTGTTTTTTTGAGACAGAATTTTTCTAGGTAGTTCAGTCTGGCCTTGAGTTTACTATGTAGTCAAGGCTGGCCTCGAACTCCTGTAGATCCTCCTACCTCAGGTTCCTGAGTACTAGGACTATAGGTGTGTGCCACCACACCTGGAAGTATCAAAGTTTTACTATCACTTAAAAATGGGGTAGGATAGAAGGAATGAAGAATAACTAAAGGAGAGTGGGCTTGTAGTTCAGTAATAGAACGTTTAGCATGCCTGAGGCCTTGGGTGTAATCGCAAGCACCAAAACCTCACAGAAAACCAAGAACTGGGTAAATAAAGAGATTGTGTAGATATCATCATAAACAAAAACCACAATTCAAAAGACAGCTGGTGTCCAGCCCTTAAAAATTGTATTGCCTTCAACGCTGTTAAAGCAGCCAGTACTTTGATGGGCACCACATCAGTATCTTCACAGGGCTCATCTGGGTGATGAGCACACATACTGGAGGGAAGAAAAGATGGGAGGCACTGAACTGTGTTACAGTGAAACTTCAAATATTTGGAAAATACTTCCATTAGAAACTGAACATGATTTGCAAGGGTATTTCATTACCCCGATGTACTAATAGACTAACTACACAGTTTACCTTTATGTCAAAATAGCTGCCCTTTCAATCAGTGGTATGCTGGAGGTCAGGCTGTTCTCTAATAACTTTATGTACCTTAGTGACAGCCCTTAAAAATGATGCAAGATACGTCAGCATTCAATAGTTTCAGATTATTCAGTTTTTTAAAGAAAGAGTTTAAAATTTCATACCCATAGATTGTCTTTTCCTGCCTCTTCTCTTGGATTCACTACTCTGGAGACAAAATCTTGAAGCAACATTTAAAGATCTTGACTCTTCACTTGACTTTCTGGGGATAACTCTGATGTTAGGGAAGCTGGGACTGTTTTCTGGTGTATTACTGGCCCCTCTTCTGCCTCTGCGTTTTCTGTGAGGACTAAGAAGTTCCACAAATATATTGGCTTGCTCTGCACCATGACTGTGGCGAGTAGAACGACCAACAAATCTTGAAGATTTAGTTTCTGCAGTGGGAGCAGATCTTATCTTTCTTAGGTTTCTACCAATAGTTCTAGAAGAAACAGCTGTTTTGGGTGTACTCTGCTGACTCCTTGAAGGGTATCTTCTAAGATCTTGTCGTTGGCTATGACGTGAGAAAGAAGAGCTCAGTCTCCTTCTTGTCTTAATTGGCAATCTGACTTGTGGTCTTCCCCTTTTTGGTGGGCTACAAATATCATTAGAAAACACATTTATTGTACAGAACAATGATGAATATATTTTTGATTCCAGGATATCATGAAAATGTAGTCCTGAATTATGATTAGTTGTAATAAGAGCCTCAGGAAAATCAACAGACCTAGCCAATAGTCTTAAAAAACTTAAGAGAGTGATGAAGTAATCTTAAAGTACAATTGTTTTGTCTCCTTTTGCTTCAGGAGTCTACTACTTTTCATTACCAGTAATATTAGAGATAGATGGCACCAGCCAATGGCTGATATTGAATTAGGTCTTCATTTTGTGGTTCCTGAATACCACGCCAAGAACCTCTTTGCCCAATTCTGGTTCTGATTGTTAACTGTAATGCTGTATGTAATATTTTAATCCCTGTAATTAAAAAGGTGATTCCTTAACTGGGATTTACATGTTTGAAAAAGAAAAGGAGTGAGAAAGAAAAGAAAGAAGCACTTCTTCAGAGCTGGACGTGGTGGTTCATGCCTGTAATCCCAGCACCCAGGAGGCTGAGGCAGGGGCGTTTGTCGTGAGTTTGAGGCCACACTGGGCTATGTAGTGAGTTCAAGGCCAGCCTTAACTATAGCAAGATCTTGTTTCCAAAAATAAAAAATAAAAATAAAAGCACTTCCCCAGCTCTGGCAATGACCAGGCTTGCTGACAGAAAACCGCTGGTAGAACTACTACCCTTCCATTTCAGGCCAGAAACAAAGGGTCAAATATGGTGAGAATTCCCCAGGACTTCCAGGGCAGGAATATCCAGGTTCTATACTCATTTAGCAGGCCAGGTAACAAGGTATGATGATTATTCTTGATTGTCAAGCTGACTAGCTTGAGAAACACCTAGGAACTTAGTAAAGCATGTTTCAGGAGTATCAGGTGACTGTCCCAAGGAGACTCAGCCTGCATAAAGGTGGCACCATCTAATCTGGTAGGGGCCCACCCAGATGGACAAAAGCAAAAGCAAGAATCTTAACAGCACATGGTCTCTAGCTCTCTCATTGTGCTTCCCAGCCACCAGGAGGCAAAGATAAGCAGTGCTTGTCTGCCTCACCTCAGGCCCAGAAACAATGGAGCCAGCCCATCATGGACAGAAACCTCTGAAACCATGAGCCAAAATACACCTGTCTTCTGTAAAACTGATTTATGCCTGGCATTTTGTCAAAGCAACAGCTTGCTAAGTTGCAGAATACTTGGTTATGTGTTACTATGGAAGTTCTTTCTGGGTGGCCCTGGGTAGGGGGCACAAAAATCCCATGTACTTCCTGGCCTATACAGTTCTCTCTCTCTGTGGGCTCCCAAGATAAATAATACCACTTGGGAATGTTTATAATGTATAAAAATCAAGGGCAAGTTCATTACACATAGTTTAAAAAATGTAAGAATGTATAACTTCCGTATGACTAGTCAAAAGATTGTCTAATTAAGACTGGCAGACATTTAACTGAACATGAAGATTTACCTGAGTTCTTCCTCTTCTTGAGAGTCATCTTCATCTTGTTCTATCTCATATTCTTCCTCCTCACTTTGATACTCTTCGTCATCATCATCGATGACATCCTCCTCACCCTCCGGACTCTCTTCCATTTCTTCATCACTTTCCAAGGATGGTCTTTGTCTAGAAGAGAGTCTTCTAGAACGTTGCTTTGGTCGACATTCAGGACAAAACCAATTTCCCTCAGGCACAGTCTGAACAAATCACATAAGTGATCATTAATCATCCAATGCTTAAGATCTCAGTGCCTGAGTTCTCATTTGAGAAGTAGGAGAAAAAAAAAAATACCTTGAGCTTTGGTCGAACACAATAGGTATGGTGACCCCTATCGCAGCCATAGCAGAGTACCATATTTTCAGCATCCCCCTTCTTACGGCACATCTTGCAACGAGCATTCAGTATAGACTTAGACCATACCACACTGCGATCCAGGGTGGATAAGTGCAGGAAGACTTGGGACAGGCTAGCAGAGGAAAGCAGAGACTCTCTCCAGCGATCCAGGACTGTTTTATAAGAACGCCCACTGTCACTGGCATCTTCAATGAAAGGAGAAAGTGGTCAAAGTTTTCTAGGCAAACATAGCCATCTCCTAGAACTATTTTCTTGGCAACTTAAACAGCTTATAATACTTTATATTTCTTCTCATACTTAACAAAAAGACCATGCATGATATTAAAACCAAAAAATCTAATGTTAAAGAAAATGCACATCTTGTTTATGACACAAGGCATTACTTAAACATATGAATCAAATGCTTGGGGATTTCGATTGTTAAAAGAAAAAACTTTTGCAATGTGTTCTCAATCTAGTCTTCGCAGTAAACCTTGATCTAATTTTAAAAGCTGGCTAAATATGATCACAAGTAAGTTCTATTCAAGTATGTTACTTCTTTTTCAGATAAAAGATGGACTGCTCTCTAACTTAAATATGAAGCATATATGTATAAGGTTTCTTTTGGGTTGATGAAAATGTTCCATAATTAGACAGTGGCCTTTGCTGAAACAGTGACTATACTAGAAACCACTGTATAGGATACTATGAAGTAAATCTTATGATGTCTGAATCCTATCTTGGTAACAGTATTAAATTTATCAGTTATGTATTAATACAAACTGTCTTCAATCTCTAAGAAAAGATTCAAAAACTGAAATAAAACATTAATGTTCCCAATAAGAAGTTTTAGCACCAATATTTATTTTGAAACATTCAAAGCCTTCTGTCAATTATCAGTATTGCTTTAGAAAAAATTAAGTCATCTGAATATATGCTATATATTATCAATCTATAATCAGGCCCCCATTCAATACTGGTATGTGATTTCCATTTACTCAACACAGATCCTGCCTTAATTTTCCTTTAGCAGTTTCTGGGTTTTTTTTTGGGGGGGTGTTGTCTGAGAGAGGATCTGACTACGTAGCCCAGACTAGTCTCTACCTCTTGGTTTTTTTGTTTGTTTGTTTGTTTTTTGGTTTCTTTTCTTGCCTCAGACTCCTGAGTGCTGGAATTACTGACTTGGACCACCAGCACCTTAAACATTATTCCTAATTATGGAAACCTAACTACATCATGTTAAAATTCTGCAAGGTATGTAAGACTCCATATATAGTCTGGCTCAGCAATACCTTATTTCATTCTACTCTTTTCAAATAAAGCCTATTGGACAATAGCCCAAATTAAGAGAATGCAGGCTCTGAGGTCTGTCTACTTTGATCCGAGTTGAGTACTGGTTCTCGCTTCTGAGCCTAGGAAGCTACTCATTTCTGTGTATAAGGTTCCTCAGCAGGAATACAGTATCTGCACCTCTGAGCACAGCTGGATATATCAGATGAGATGACACATATGATGCATGTAAAGTGCCTGTCATAGAGTAAATGCCTTTATATTTTGGTGATGGTACTTGCTAAGTTGCTTAAGCTGGGCTTCTACCTTCAGTTCTTCTGCCTTTGCCTCCCTAAGTGCTGGCATTACAGGAGTTTTCATCAAGCCTGGCTAGTAAATACAATTATTACGTCATTGTTCCTGCACTATACTGTTCTCCCTATGTGCAGCACTTTAGGAGCTATGAAACAAGTTTTTTTTATGGCCCCTATCTTCAAATTTTAGTATAGAGAAGCTGAAAATGTTCACGAGCTGCAACTATAAAGCAGTACATCTTCCAAACACTAGTGGGCCTTCAGCTCTCATTCAACCATGAGGTGACTTAAACAGGACTTGGGACCATGTGTCCATCCAAGGTAGCGAGTCACTCTAAAAAATAAGGGTGCTAAAAGAGAACCCTTCCAGAAGTCAGGTGGAAAACAGTACCACACATACAAGGAAAATAAATGTACTCATCTGGGCTTCATATTGGGTAGAAAGGAGAATTTAAACCTACCCTGAGAATCTGAAACTACAACAAAGGTCTGAACAGGTTTAAAAACCTGAAAGAAACAGGCTAAGATTTTAAAATGGTCCAAGCTTCAGTTGAAGTGCTCATGTAAATGTCAGAAACCAATACATATCTTTGTAAATTTACTCTGAAAACATTTCCACAGATCAAATTCTGAGGAATGAGACTTAACTAGACCCAGACAGGGCCTTGCCCAGGACATGTGGGGCCCTGCACTTGATCCCAGCCTCCACTACAGTAAACAAGGTACTTGTGCAAACAGAACCGCGAGAGCCAGCAGACTCAGGCTCACAGGGCTTCAGATACTGGAACCAGATATAGAAAAGGGAATAACTGCTTCACATTTTAAGAAGAATTTAAATATATAAATAATGTAGGTTTAAAAAAGAAATCAAGAGGGCCAGGGATATAGCTCAGAAGTGCAGTGCCTGCCTGGTAAGTGTGAGGTCTAGAATTTGATTGCAAGTACCAAATCAAACAAAAATCAGAGAGTATGGGTGTAGGTCAGTGGTAGAGTGCTTGCCTAGTATGCATGAGGCCTTGAGTTTGATCTCCAGGATAGGTTAAAAAAAAAAAAAGCCAGGTGTCATAGTACATAACTGTAATCCCAGCACCTAAGAGGCTTAGGAGGATTACAGGTTTGAGGTGACCCTGGACTACACAGCAAGACTCTATCTGAAAATAAAAAAGCAGAAAAAAACTCCCCAGAAAAACCAAAAAACAATGAGAATTTCTAAAAGTAGTTAATAATTCAATGAGAGAAGACAAAACTCAATGGATGGGTCAAATGGATCTTCAAAGCTAAAGAGAAAGATAGTGAAGTGGAATTTTTTGTTTTTTGAGACAGGGTCTCACCCTATAATTCAGGCTGGTCTTGATCTCACTATATACTCCAGCATGGCCTTAAATGCATGGCAATCCTCCTGCCTAAGCCTACCAAGTGCTGGGATTAAAGCCATGCACCCACCATGGCTGGTGTGAAATGGACATTAAATTCAAAGATATTTAGTATTTTTCTACTTTTATCTTTCTATAGCCTTTTGTTGTAGGTGTGTCCTTTTTGAACACAAAGCTTCACACATGCTAAGTGCTCTACCACTGAGCTACACTCCAAGGTGTGCCTTTTGTAGGTGGTAGCTGAATATTACCTTTCTAATCCAGTCTGGAATATATAATCTATTGTATTTAATTTGTTGCTACTGTTTTATTTGGATTTTTGCATAATGCTTCACAAAAGTTCAGGCCTCAGTGGGGCCACCAAGGAAATTGCTAGTTGGAAGATCATAAGAAATCCTTCCAGATAAATCAGAGAACCTTTTTATTGGTAATGGCAAGAAATAAGGAATGAGAGTAGAAGAAAGAATAAATGATGAAAAATATTTGTAACTTTGGCAGTCAGTGTGAATAAAGGTAGTAAAACACTATGGGTTTTGGTCAACCAGGTAGTTTTATTTGGGGGATGGGCAGTACTGGTGGGGATGAACCTAGGGCTTCATACATGCTAGGCAAGCACTTTGTCATTGAACTACATCATTACCCTATCACTGAGATACAAACTATTTTGACATGATGCATTATAAATTCAACATCTAAAACAAAACCAATAACATAGTAGGAGGATTGTGGGTTTGAGGCCAGCCTGGGCTACATAAAGACAAAAAATTCTCAAAACACAAAAAATTTCCCTAATCCCAAAGAAATCCAGACTTTGACACAGAAGTCATGATATCAAAACTTTCAGAACTTGAGACTTGTATTTTCCTACACATGTCCCTAAATTGCTTTTAAAAAACTAAGACATTATTTTTATCATTCTAATTATAAATTATGGCTGGGTGTGGTGGCACATGCCTGTAAGCCCAGTACTTGGATGGCTGAGGCAGGAGGATCACAATGAGTTTGAGGCCAGCCTGGGCTACACAGTAAGTTCAAGGCCAGCCTGGACTACATAGTAAAACCTCATCTCAAAAATAAAAACTAATTGTAAATTATGAAATGTTTTCCTTATCTGTGCTACTTCTTGACACTTTCTACTTCTGTGGACTTGTATCTCTCTGCCACAGCCACCCAGGGTGCTAGAATTACAGGCAAGGGCCATTATACTTAGCTTAGTCATCATTCTTTGGATAAAATGCTTCACAAAAGATGAGACTAAACAGTTAAAAAATTCAGTGAAATGAATGATTTATAAAAATAGTATTTAGGCATTATTTAAAAACTAAATCCCACCTGAAAGAATTTATCCTTTAAAATGAAAACAATCTAGGGGCCAGAGTGATAGCTCAGAAGCACAAGCACCTGCCTGGCAAGTACAAGGTCCTGCATATGATTCCCCAGGGGGGACACACACACCAAAACAATCTAAAGTTTTCATATTAGTCACAATTTCATGTCAGCTAATGAAGTTCAATTTCAAAGTCAATTACAGGCTCTTACCAAGTGGAGCTTTGAGAAAACGCCGCTCAATCCCCTGTTCTATCTGAAAGAGTGCGGTTGCCAGATAATGAACGACGTTGCTCACCGACTGCGGTGTACTTGCATTAGTTGAGACAGAGCTTGGAGTTTCTGTTTTAATCCCCAAAAGTCTACATGAAAAAATGAAGAGTTCATGGCACTTAAAAACACTACAGTGAAACTTGAACCTATGTTTATTTATTTTTTTTCCATGATATATATTTTTATATAATACAAAACTATACATAACATAAATTATAATATTCAATGTCATTAAAATTTATATATCTATATGCATAACATATAACAATAATGTTATCTAAAAACCTGTGGCTTTTCTAGAACAATAACTTGCTCAAATTAATATTTAATTTAGATAGTAATTTTATCACTTTTATAAGAAATATAAAATTTAAATGAATTTTGATTGAAGTCCTCCCTGTTAACTATCAAAAGGCATTTATATTTCAATAGTTACACCCCTTGAGCCAGGAGTGGTGGCCCATGCTTGTAATCCCAGTACTCAGGAGGCTGAGGCAGGAAAATCACTGTGAGTTTGAGGCCAACCTGGGTACAAACCTATGTTTATTTACCCTCGTGTAAAAGACTTTCTATATCTCAAGGAGCTGTTATATGCTAGCAGGGAAGGGAGACTCAGGTAGAAGGAAAGCTTTGTGAAAGGTTTGACAGCTGATGACACACCTCCAAGCCTGTGTATCTTAGGCAGCTTAACTCTCCCATTCATTAGCCTCCAGCCCTACTCCTTCTCCAAGAAATCTCCACAGTGCAGCTAAAATGATTTTTTCACAGTATAAACTCATTCACTGAAAGACTCTGTACGTGCCTGACCTTGCATTGTCATGTCTTCCCCAGCTTCGGGGCTCAGCCTTGGAGGCAGGAGGACCTGTTCCAGCACAGTAGCCCTCCAGTGAACCACACCTGCACGGGGCACTGACCTGCTAATACAGCCCCGGCTTGCTCTGCAGTTGTTAGCTTGGCTTCTGTCTTTCCACCATTCCCTTCTAATGCCTTAAGAGTTCATATTACCCAAAATCACTTAGAAAAAAAAAAATCACTCTAGTAGAGTTGTCTTTTGGCAGCATTAGTACAAAGTGGAGTAACAAAGATCCCAAAGTTTAGAAAATGATCACTGTTTAGAAATGTTAAATTTCTGAAAGACACACATCCCCACACATTTACTAGAACCCTCAACATGGCAGGAAAGTTAATGGTCACTTTAGAAAAATCTACTTTGTACCTGTCTTTCACAAAGATCCTTGATTGTTCATCAATTTCCATCTCTTCTATATCTTCATTCACAGTTTTAATTATTCCATTTTCCTTGTTTTCTTCACTTAACAGCTCATATCGCCCACTTTCTAAGGCTGATCTCCACATGTGGCGGTCTGTAACCTGTAATTAAACCCAAACTTACTAACCCTGAAAAAGGCAATACAATACTCCTAAGAGGTATGAAGTTGAATGTATATATAAAATCAATTTATGGATACTCTAGAACAGATAAAAATAAAACCATGATCTAAAAATAAGGAAGTGGACAAATTAGAATTTACAGTGTTAATAGATAAAAGCTTTAATATCTCATTGTCTAAAATAATCATACACAGGGCTGGTGAGATGGCTCAGTGGTCTAAAGCACCTACTTAGAACAAGCTAAGCTAAGCAAAGCCCAGGGACCTCGGTTCAATCCCCCAGCACCACATGCCAGCCAGCCCTGCCCCCTGGTGGGCTGAGCTGGCCACACACACAAACACAAGATAAATAAATAAGAAAACAAA